CCCCCTTCTGCTATCGTTCCCATACCTGTCAGCCCAGATCTGCTTCACAGTCTCCTGCACATGGACATGGCCCAAATGACCCACTGTGAGGGGTGGGGACGGTTAGGAAGAGGATTGCATTAGGCTATTAATATGAGAAAACCACTTGTGTCTGATCTGTCTCACACACACAAAACACACCTTTAAAAAAAGACGTACATCGCAATCTGTAAGCCTTATTTAATGGGGAGTCAAAGAAAAAGAATGTGTGTGTGGCTGTTTTTTATTTGGGGAAGGGGGGGGGGGCACATATGAGTGTCAGCTAAACGCTAGATCAAAGATGACATTGCACATACAGACACATGCATAAACTCTTATATGCACATGCAAAAATGTTCTACCAACCATTTGGTAAATGCATTGGTAGGAGAATGGGCACAACTCTTATAAATATACCTAACCATGCCATGCCATACCATACCATACCACACTATACCATACATACCATGCCAGCTTTATTTATAGAACATGTTAAACACCCACAGGACCAATATCTATGAGGATTATTAAAAGAAAGCAAGGGTGGGGACATCCATCCATTTAAACCTCACCCTTAAACACAAAGCAACAGGGATAGCATGCACACACAAACACACGCACACACCTGCTTTTATGCTTTAATTAGCTGCCACCCCCCAGTGCCCCGCCCCTGACCTCTGACAGATTTCCATTGTAATCTACATGCAGGTGAAAGAGGAGACTATTTGACTAATCTACTAACCAGCATCTCTTTGCCTTGCACAAATGCAGAAAAGGAGTAAATGGGGGATACAGACAGACAGGCTTTCTGACAAAAAAAAAAAAACTATAGTAACTTTGTTTGTCTGCTCTGGTTCACAATTTTGAATTCTCTGAGGCATCTTACATCCACGACAGAACACGAAACCTATATCTGGCAGTCAAGTAGCGTCTAGTGTGAAGTGTCTGAGAAAATTCCTTTTTGAAGAGAATAGAAATTCTTTAAGTCTGTGAGTGCAAGACAAGGGCGCTGTTATCAACAGCTTGTGTCTCGTATAAGTGTGTATGGACTCAAGTGGAAAATGGTAACTTGATAACCATATTTGTCTGAGTGCATCTCTATAAATGTATATAGTACTCTACCTCTGTGTGTACATACATATGTATATGCATGTGTTTGAATGTGTGTCATAAATGGTGCCATGCATTTGAAATAGACCCAGATTCTTTTCTATTCTAGGGACCAGCACAATGATGTGTTATGCAAATCTATGGGAGTCAATCTCCTGTCCATTTCCCCATCACACAAGTCCAAATGACAGTCCAATAATTTGGGCTGCATATATATTGGGCTATTTGATTTTTAAATGAGAGCGAGCAGGGTTGACCCTTGCTAATAGCCAAGGCGCAGTGGTGGACCTAATATCACAGATGTGCAAGCAAAGCTGCTGCCATTTGAGGGAAATTGAGGAAAATTAAATTTGAGGAAAAGGGTCAGAGATTGAATAATTAAAGGACAATATTCCTTTATTGATCTTGGTAGAGGTAGAGAAACATAATGGAGATAAATTAAACATATAAAATGTGTAACTAAAAAAAAGGCTTAATTTTCCTTTTTTGCTCCCCTTTCTCCCTCCTCTTTTAAAACCCCTGGTTTAATTCCCTCTTCCCCATGATTTCAAGCCGTGGTGTTGCCAAGAGGATCATAGGTAATGAGATGGCCTATCTGCTGCTCCCCAGGGGTATGGCAGAAAGAGGGAGCTGGGATAAAAGGGAGTCAGAGACTAAACAAAGAGTGGCTAAAACACAGGTGGTGAAAGGCTGTGAGACAGCACGACAGAGGCACTTTATATATACAAGTTTTTTATCTTCTGCACTCCAACTATATGTTCTCTTTTTCTCATAAAAAGTGAGAAGCATTTTAAGAATGTTCTTAGTTTGAATAAAATTGTGAGAAAAGAATGGAAATGTGGAAAGTGGTTAAATACAAAGACACGGAAAAGTGCAAGAGACCCCAAACAATCGTTTCTGGTTGAAATCTGATGGAAAGTTCAACAGACTGGCAGTGGTTTAAAAAAGTCTAAGATTTATTCAAACCGCCATCTGAGAAACAGGTGCTATGACCTCCGAGACACACGGTGTGTGTACATGTGTGTGTGGTCCTTGACTATGCCACATTGACCATGAACATTCTCAACTCCCAATGACCCAGGGGCAAGCGCAGCAAAGATCTTAACCTCAAAGCTCTGCTGGGACACATGCACACAAACACATATGCTCAATACAAGCTGAGCCCACTACTTATCCAGGTGGCACTTGTGAATGGCACTGACAGATTTACTCCCAGCTCCATGTGTATAAAGGCCAATGTTTGTTATTTAAAATCATAACAAAGCCATACGTTATAATATTTTTTGCTAAGCTAAATATCAGCCAGACCAGCTGTGGATACCTCACAGGCTAGTAGTACACAAACTCTACGCTAATCCATCTTTTATTTTGTCATAAACATGTTAGAGAAATTCACTTAATAGTCATAATGATACTAAGAAATAAGGTCCATACATTATGTGCTCAACAAAAAGCTGAATTATGAGATATTTTGTGTAAAAGTACTCCAAGTGGCAGTGTTTTTATGTTAAATAAACTTAGACCATTCATTTTTTTTTAACGTTCCCTTCAATAGGCAGCGAGAAGTAGACCTCTGTTTTTCCCATGTAAGGTCTGAGAGTTCCTGTGCCACCTGCTGTGCCTTGGACACCAGAAGACTTGATGTCCATGAACTGCTAATGTCATTTCCCTTTTGCTGTTTTAGAGTCTGGAAAAAAAAGACACTTTCAAACTCTCAATTCCCCTCAGATGTACTCAATTGCTGCTACAAAGCGGCCATAAAATTTCCTGAATATGCTTTTTGTTTGTATCTTCAAATGGTTTCCCATGCCATAAAGATATTCTCTGTTTCCAGAAAAGCCAGATGGTAAAGTCGTCAACACTCGGATCTTTTATGCGCCGGGCCAAGCTACCTCTATCCCCATGTGCTTTTCACCTCTGCCAATACATAAAAGGAGTGGTGTTTTTCTGGTCAAATAAAGATTTTTTTCCCTCTGCATTTGCTCTGCAGCTCACTCGGTTCCATCTATGCTTTCTCTACACCTCTCTTTCCGCTTTGCCACCACATGTCTAAGGGTAGAATAGTGGACTTTCTGCCAGAGGCATTAAAAGCGTCATCTGCAGAACAGCTTTGTAGAGGCCCATGGAGTAGGTGGATGGATGTGGAACAGGGATATTTGGCTGCATTCAGGAGACACTGGGGTGACCATCACTTGCCCTGGCCATACTGAGGTTATATCTTAAATGGTTTTGAAAGAAGAAAAGTATTTTCAGATTTAGATAAAATAGTTTGGAATTGCATACTATTGGTATAGCATCTTTAATCTGTACATTTAATCACATATACGTGCATGTCTTTACATCACTAAATGGTTGCAAATCTTTCGTATTGGAGACTTGGTAACTTATCCAGAAAGTGGCTCAGACTGAATCATCTGAAAATGCAACTAAAAGTGACTCAGCATTCTCAAATGGCTGTTCATGTGTACACAGAGAGAAACATGCACCTGCACTCAAGTCTTCGAGACTGATTTGAGTCAACTAATCGTGCTGATTCAATACGTCAAGACCTCACGTTGAGTCGTCAAATGTACAAGCAGCATGTTTGCTAAGAATTTAAAAAATTATCTCAAGCAGAATCATCTCCAGTTCGTTTTGTGCCAGGTTCAGCGTTTGCCAGACTTTGGACAATCTTGTGTTCAAATGAACATCCTGTTTAAGTTGGCTAAGACTGTTTCCGATATTCCCAAGAATGCCAATTAGCTTAATCGAGTTAGAACTTGAAACTAAGAAACAGCATATTGCAGTGTTTGTAAATCCTCAAAATCTAACAAATTAACATTTGTATACCCTTTTACTGCTTTGGTCCCTTGATGTACACAAGGTTGAGGCAAAATATACGAGTATTAATCCACCTTTACTGTTCTACTCTCCATCACAAAACTGTATCGTTCATCTTTATCAATTTTTCGTCCTGCAGGATCATCATCAATAGCTGGAAGAAACAGTGAAAGGGACAAAAGAAGATAATCAGAATTCTGAAATATGCCACTGATAATCCATGGTGTGTGTGAGATTAGGAAGGAAACATTAGTGCCAGCTGCTCACAAGCAGGAAATGTAACCATATCAGATGAAGATCTTTTACGGTACTTTCACAGTGACCTTTTTCTGTCTTTGTCATTCCATTCTCATGGAAACTTTCTGTCTGTGTGGTGCTGCACTTAAGGGGATGGAATGAGAGCTTAAAAAAACAAAACAATAAAAAAAACATGGTTTATTTTCCCAAGTATCCTTGTAATATCAATTTTTATGTCTTTTGATAAGCATTTTCTCCCTATTATATGTTTCATAACTGTTTTTTTAATTATTATTATTCTGTCAGGGCTTACTTAGCAGATCACAAGCAAACAGTGTTTTTACCTTGTAGAGACGGATGGCAGACTCATGCCTCTGGTTGGTAGCATGTAATCTCAGTTTATCCACGCTGTTGCTGTAGTAGTCACAGGCGTTACACTTGAGGTGCACAGGGTTGCCAATGGCCACACACTTTAATCTCCACTGGTTGGCCTTGCCTCCCTCCTTGATGTGGGCCACCAGCTGGTGCTTCTGCATGTGCTTGTCTGTCTTGCAGTGCAGCTGAAAGTTGGCCTTGAGCTGAGTGTTGTAGCTGCAGAGCTTGCACTGGTAGACATCACCCACCACGCAGCGCCACTCCTCGTCAGGCAGGGAGCGCTCCGCATTGATGTGAGTGTTGAGAGCCTCTAGGCTGTCTGTGGAGTAGCAGTTGCACACAGCACACTGGTAGAGGCGCAGCGAGGGGTCACTGATAGGTGGCGACAAGGAGGAGAGGGAGGGGTCTGCTGAAGACATGCCCCCCATTCCACCTGAGGATACCATGGATAGGTCGTCTGCTATCAGCTGGCCGCTGGCAAGACGCAACTCTGCTGATAGGTCATTATTCACTATAAAGAGATTAGGGAAACCACAGGTTAGACAGCTGAATGGAAATATGGCAACACATTTTTAAATGGGAAATAATTAAAAAAAGAAAAGTCAGACAAAAAGTGTGCAGTGTGGATCACAGGAAGAATAGTTAAATAAATAAAAAAATCAAAAATACAAATATACATAGTTGTGGTGAAAATTAAAGGTTGCCATGTGTATAAGATGATTAAGAGGAAAATACTTATTTTATTAAACAAAATGAAGTGTGGAAAAAACAACTGTCTTCCAGCCTCACTCACACAAAAGGATTTGATCAAATAAAGCCACACAGAGGACTAAGTCTACCTACAAAATCTTGTCTATAAAAAAACCCTAATAGGATTGAATCAGGATCAATTACAATCATCCTTTTCAACTTGCTAACTCGCTCATCGGGTAGCTTTAATTACTGCTCTCAGCAATAGTGGCACAATGGTTTTAGGGCTTTAAGCTTTTCTTGCATCCACACACAGATTTGAAAAGCTGATCAATATATTACACGTGCACCACCAAACCTAGAACAAAACAAAAAATCTGCCATTCATGCAAATGTAATTAACTCTCTCGTTTGATCCCATCATTGTCCCTCTATCCATGTTCCCAAAGCTAATCATGTTTGTTTTCCCCAGATATTATAAAAAAAAAACACAACATGCACTGAGACAAACATCATCTGGTTCATGATAATTCTCCCATTAATAGGACAATTATAGAAACTGAAGCATGCTCCTAATTGTATATGTGGAAAGTTGTGACGTAATTCCACCATCATGAATATTCATGATCATCATCCTGATCTTTGAGGGACTGCAAATATAAGTTTGACTATAAAATAAATCCCTGCTCACACTAGTCCAACCTATGCACATCTGTGCTCACTATGGGGAGCTGTGAGTTATCAGTGTAATTCACTGAGAGTACATCTGCTAGCTGGGCTGTGACCTCCACACTCGAGGAGGGAGTGGGTGTGCAGCACTGCAGGGTCATTGTTAAATCTCTCTCACTCCTACGGGAATCCGCTTCCTGCTGTTTGTGAGGATGTGTATGTGTGTGTGTATATGTCTGTTCTCTTCAGAATGGGTAAAGGTTTGTTAGCATGTGTGTGTGTGTGTTCGGTGGTGATGGCATTGTGGTGTGTAGGGGGAGGATTAAGCTGACTTAAGAAAATTACAAATGAAAGATTAAGAATAATTCTCATGTGGCATCTCATAATCATTTTTTAATCAGCGAGAGGGGTCAGAGAAAAGAGACAATGACAGAGGAACCATATGAGAGAAGAGATAAGAGAGAGAAAGAGAGACGAGCAAGGGTAGGGGGCCAAGGTAAAAAAAAAAATGATGGAAGCAGAAAATAAGAGGGTGAGAGGGTAGAGATAAAGATAAAGGGGAACAAAGGAAACACAGAGATAAAATGAACACCTAGATGACATCAGATAAATGAAATAAAAGTGCACGTGTAAAAAAAATGAACCAAAGAAAACTGAATTCCAACTTACGGAGCAACAACAAAAAAAAAAAAAAAACATTTTCATGCTTTTTACTTGACTAGTGTAAAACCTATTAGCCGTGTAAGCTTATTTTTGTTTTACAAATTATATCTAGTATTCACCTAGCCCGGATCCAAGAGCGGCAGCAGTTGCTGGATCTAACTGAAAGGGGTTAATCATCATCTGGGCATCTGGTCCACCATTGCCAGCCGGGCTCTCCAGTTTTACTCCAGCGAGGCCCATGTTTTGAGCCAGGTAGTACTGGTACAGCTCTGCCTCTGCCGGGGCCAGGCCCAGATGGAGGCTGTGCTGGATCTGCTTCATGTTCTGTTGCAGCAGCATCATGTTGTGCATGTGCTTCTCGCTGGTCATGTGGATTCGTAAGTTCCGTGCCACGTTGGTCTCGTAGTCGCACACCTAAACAAAAGCAAGGTGGACGTCAAATTAAAATAGTTTAAAAAGTGTAAACCACACACCACAAACATAAGTATTTTAAAAAATAGTAGTTTACAATGAAAATGTGACTACAACAGCAATAGAAACAACAAAACAGAATTTCATGAATCAACAAAATGCAAATATAGTGAGACAATTAAGACTAAAAACATAAATTTGCAATGATTTGTTGCAAAACATTGGCAGTATGTAGTCAGATGATTTTGCATAGAAAAAAACAAAAAACAAAAAAAACAGTGTGATGCACATTAAAATAGCTGCCTCACTGTGCAGTCATGCAAACTAATTGTCATGTTACTACCACCATGTTAGAAGGATGTTTTGTTTCTTTCATTACCTCACAACGCCAAGTGGGTTTCTGTTTGGGCTTGGAGGGTGAGGGTGCACCACAGCCTCCACCAAGGCTTGCAGTGGGTACAGGGTTGGTATGGTTATGGTTGAACTGTGCCTCAGTACCACCATTCTGGAGGGTTTGCACATTGTTCAAATGCTTGTCCGACTGCATGTGGATGCTAAGGTTTCCTTTGGTGGTGGTTGAGTAATTGCATACCTAAAAGAGGATTATTAGACAAGATAATACAATTGCTGTTGATGAATACATTTTCACAAGCTTAGCTTGAGTGTGTTTAACTGAGACAAGCCTTTTAACTTAACTTGCATTTTAACTTTTGATGTTGACCTTTAAATTAGTCAAATTCTTGCTAAAGTAGACTTGTGGCCTGTTACTGAAAAACCATTGAAAAAGAAAGCTGGCACATCGGTTGCATCAGTATTCAATTTGCCTATGTAAAATTAACAGATTAAATAACATCATATCTACTATAAAATCAAAAGAATAAACAACAAAAAAAAGGAAATTAAACAAATTCACAAAAACACAATGCAGACAATATTTTTTACTATAACAATTCTACAATTTTTAGGAAAAAAAGGAAATAGTTTTCCAAGAATATAAAAAAATGAACAATGGACAGACCTCACAGCGGAAAGGCTTGTATCCACAGGTATAGCTTTCGCCTCTAGCTAAACGAGGGTGAGGTTGTCCTGTGCGGCAGTACACACATGATCCACCAGATTCTGGGTGCTTTTCCTTCATGTGAGCATCCAGTGTTTGCTGGTACTTGTAATGCCAATTACACTTTGGACACTTCAGCGTCTTGCATGAGTTACGTGAATGCATCATTGTCATGTGCCCTCCTAGTGACCGTGACGATCCCAAGACTGTGTCACATTTGGGGCACTCCACCCCACTGCCTGGGGATCCTTCACCTGGTCCAGGGGTGCCAGGAGTTCCTGGCGTTCCAGGCGTACTAGGATTTCCTGTGTTTTGATGTAGAGGCCCAGGACTCTCATCATCTCTGCGCATCATCATGTCAATCGGGATAGAAGATGGTGACGTCCCATCGCGTCCTAACAGGCCTTCACTTGTAGAATCATTGCTGCTCTCCCGCTCTCTGGCAGCTGCCAGGGCATTGGATAAAAGGCTCTTCTCCATCTCCAGCTTCTCAGACACAGGCAGGGAGGAAGAGGAGGTGGACACAGGGCCTTTACTGTCACTGTTTAACTTAAGCACACTGTTGGAAAGGGGGGAAATACTTTGGTTTAAGCGAGGGAAATCTTTGCTACTGGTGCAGTTGGCTTCCTGGCCTGTCACAGACATGGTCATGGCCTGTTCCTCCTCCTCCTCATTTGCCTCCATTTCTACTCCTCCACAAATTGAGTAAGTGTCCTCATCCTGTTCTGGACTTTCTTCTCCCATTGTACCAGGCTCCCGCTTAATAGGCGGGTATTGGCTCAGGTCCAGCCCATTGGGTTGCAAAGTGCATGTGTCCCTAACGTGGCCTTTGCAGTCACTATCAGAGTTCAGACTTTCCAGGCTACCACCAACGGCAGCAGCAGCAGAACTCCCACTAGGGTTTCTGTGGGTGCCAGCCCCTCCCCCGAGGTTTGGGTTGGTCTCAGCCTTTGGCATGATTTGGGTTCTGGGGTTTTGGTCAGAAGATGAGCTGCTAGCACTGCCCTTCAAAAAGGCAAAGCCTGCCTGAAAACAATCTGTACTCTCCCCACTACTGTGGAAAGCATTCCACAAGCCTCGGAGCCCCGTGTCTGGCCCTAGGAAGTTGGCAGGTGAGGGAAAGTGGGGTAGCACAGCGTTTGGGGGTTTTTTTGGTTCCAAAAAGCTTATAAGAGGTTCTTTGTCCTTGCCGATGCCCTGGATGATGGCAGAGACATGCTTGTTGCTCAGTAGCTTCTGTTCCTGCTCATTCAGGGTCATACGGTGGTCATGAACAGCGTGTGTAACGAAGGAACGGCTGTAGCCAAAAGACAGTTTGCACAGAAAACACATCAGCACAGGCTTCCGCCGACCATCGGCCACACAGCCCTCAAACTTGGACAAGTCCACATTGTTGGGGACATCTTTGGACACACAGGAGTTTTTGGCTGCACCATCCGCCGTCAGATAGTCCTTGTCATTCCTATGGCGGAGGTCATAAACACGAAAACTGTGCAACACAGGACCAGCACCGGCCATCCCTCCCACTGAGGTATTTGGGAAGGAGGGATGGTCGGTTGTGAGGGATTTACTCCCAAGGGATGAGGCGATGTGGAAGGTGTTGATGATCTGGGGGTAGAAGGACATGGGTGCAGCGGGCTGCTCCAACCGTTCACCACCTGGGCTCAGGCCACTCTGACCACTGTTGCCCAATGTATTGGGGAAGGTCTGGGGGGACAACAGGCCTCTGAATTGAAGAGCCCCTGAGAGCCCCCCCTGGTTGCCACGCTGCTCTTTGGAGTCCTCCAAAATAAAGGCAGAGCCATCGGGCTGGTAGATGATCTCGCCACATAGGTTCTCCACATCACTATCCTCTTCCATCTCCATCTCACTGTTTACATCACCTACTTCTGCAGCACCAACCTCACGATCTCCTTCATCCTCACTCTCCTCCTCTATCATCCCTTCAATCTCCTCATCCTCCTCATGATCTCCAGCAATAGGCAGGCGAGCATTAGGGCAGTGGTGCTCCATGTATTTTTGTAAACTGGAGAAGGATTTAGAACATTCGTTGCAGGGGATCTCCTTTGCCGGTGCCACAGGCGATGTGGCAGGGGCAGAAAAGTCCGAACCCAAAGCTGCTCCTCCTCCTACTCCTGGTAAAGTCCCAGTAACATTCCCTCTGTTACTGGTAGTAAAGCTTTCTCTTCGACTCTGCTCACTTACAGGGTCGATTGTTGCACTGACAGTGGTGGGGGTAGTAGTAGACCTAAGTGGGCTTACAACAGTTCCTCCGAGGCCATTGTCTGGCTCTCCAATGGCAGCAGGCAATGACTGGTTGTTGCCGTTTGTGACACTGGACTCCATGGAGACAACAGAGTTGTCCTCAGCAGCAGCATCCAACCTCTGGCCACCATATTCCTGCTGCCGTGACGACACCATGGGGGGAGAGTCACAAGTTGCCATGATGACCACTACATAGGGATCTCATCTCATCCAGCCCAGTAGGGACCTGAATTGGAGAAATGGAGAGAAAGAAAAAAAAAGTTAAATTTAGCTAATTTGGTTAAATATTAATACGTAAGCTAATTCTGAAATAATTATTTTAATTCACTCCAGTTAATTTCCACTCACACAAAATCCTGTTAATAACTGTGTTAAATTTGAACATTAAACTTATCTAAAATCCATTTAAGTATAGGGAGCTCAGTTCAGTAATAGCAGAATAGTTTGTTTCTGATTTAGCTGATCCTAACTAAAAGTGCTATAGAAATAAAAATAAAATATAATAATTAAAACAATCAGTTATTGTACACTGGTCTCCAGAATGCTAAAGTAAGTGATCAAATATCGCAACAAATGTTTTTGCATTACTGTTGCACAACTACCAAATCCAATTGCCGCCTTTTGGGAAAAAAAGTATATATATATAT